GGGAGACACTTTTGGCCCTTCTCTCCCCCTCATCCTCCCTTTCTCATACTGTCCTGGTATCCTAAAATTCTTCCTTGTTTCACTAGAAAAGAATTCCCTATGATTTTCTAAGTCTGATGCCAGTCATGCTCATGGCTGTGGTAGAGCAGTTAGGAGTGGAGCAGACAGACATTCTGGAAGGACAATCCTAGTTTTACAACCTGAGCAATTGATAACAAGGGGCTTCCACAGGGATTTATGGGAAATGCTGGCCTGTGGAAGGTGCCCAAGAATGGAAAGATGAGCAGGAGATCCATACAACCTAGCAGAGAAGATTATCAGAATGAATCAGAGCCCTGACCTCCTTCCTTGCCACGGATGTATGCATGATACCTAAGTGTGAGGAAGCTGCAGGAAAATGTTCTGGGCTTAGAACCCTTTTCTCCTGTAGTCGTATAATTCTTATATACTTCATTGATCTTGAAATATAATTTCCTATGTGTTCTCTAGCAATGAGATTCTCATCCAATTTTAGTGTCTTCGCACAATGCCAGCTCATTTTCTCACTGGGTAATTTGGAATAACACACATTTGACACAATTGGCAAAATCATTTTCATTCCCATACCAGCAGGTTCCAATCATGGCAACCTAATCAATCTTCTGACCATCTACATTAATTCCCAAAATGACCCAGGTAATCTGACTGGCTGCAGTGTGGCCCAGTGACAAGTTACACCAGACCATCTGGTGATTCTGTCTCCTCCAACGGTAGCCCAGAAGGGCCATCTCTTTTAATGTTTCCTATGTCCTGCTGAAGGAAGCAAAGGTTGAGGCTTACCACATACCAGCAAGCCATTCTCCTCCTCCCTTTGCATGGACCAAAGAAATCCTGAAATGCACTGTAATTCAGCTGCTCACAACCTGCATAGTCTGCTTTGCATTCTCAGTGAACACATGGTAATATTCAGAATGCAAATTAAACTTTATGGGTGCCATAACCTTGGCCATTTATTGCAGCAGATTCTGTAATTGCCTGATGCTGCTAATACAGCCAAGACTACTTTGACTTTTTCTTTTTCTTTTTTTTTTTTTTTTTTTTAACTTTTGCAGATCAACCTGCCATGTTGATTAAGCAATCCTGTTGTTTCTTTGTGGTATTTCTTTAGCTAATGTATTAGTTGAGGTTCTTTATCATACAAGCAACCAGAGTCAGTTTTAGTTAGTGATGGGCAGTAAAACTAAGAATAAAATATATTAGTGTCCTCAAGTTCAAGTAGTACTTGTGAAATGAGTTAACATTCTGAAGGAAAACAGGCTTCACAATAATACAAGGAGAGTTAGAATAAAAAGTAGGTTTAACAAGACCAACTGGTGACTATATACTAGAAGGTAGAAGTTGCTCTTTGAATAATTTGAGCCACGAAGGCATCTATGGTTTGCACTAACTTGGAAGAAAATCACCAGCATTAGAATTGTCACCAAGGGAAAACCAGGAAAGCCTGAGCTATTGTTGCTCTATATAACATCTGTGTGCAAATTAGAAAAAGATGTTCATTTCTCTAGGCAGGTAAAGCCTGACTGGAGCAGGCATATTCCATTGTAATCTTCAGCCCTGAACACGCCACAACCAAATCAAACATCCCGGGACAGCAGTTACCCCTCCTATATTTTAATGACATGGTGATACAAGGAGGTGAATATAAAAATCCTAATTTGAGAATGGAAGTAGGTAGCATTTCCAGAATGTCCAGAGGCATGGACTTCCCCAAGGAAGATGTCAGGTAGAAACATGGGTGGAGTTAAAAGAGAAGTTTGGGGATTTGAATAAAAACTGACTCCCAGGCATGTGGTTTGAGATGCCCTGGATTACAAGAGACCTGTTTATCCTCCCACTGTCCCAGTGAACTGTCAGTGTAAAGAAACCAGATTTTGTTCATTTTCTTTTGCTTTTCCTACCTAGTGGCATGGCCATGGCCATGAGAACTGGATCTTAAACCAGTCGAGCTCGACACAGTCAAGCTCATTCCTTTGGCAATACTTATGGGCTAGACTTGTCATGCAGCAATATCCAAGGTGCTTCCTGCTTGTTATTTCTGAGGTGGGTAAAAAAATGTATTGAATGGGTATGGGACAAACAACAATCAGCAATCAACACAACCAATATTCTGCCATAGCAGTGTGATATGCATAAAGGACCCTCGTTATTCACCTCCCCATATCATATGATTTTGTCATTCCTCTCACTAAGAGGCAGAGTCTATCTCCCCACTCTCTTAGATTGTTTGTACCCCTATAACAAAATACCACAAAGTGGGTAATTTATAAACAGAATATGTTTCTCACAGCTCTGGAGGCCAGGAAGTCCAAGATCAAGTTTCTGCCTGGTTCAGTCTCTGGTGAGGGTAATGATCACTCTGTCTGAGATGGTGATGTGTTTCTGTGCCCTTGGAGGGGATGAATCTTGTCACATGGCAGAAAAGATGGAAAGGCAAAACAGAGCCAAGGCTAGTTCCTGCCAGCTTTTTCATTAAAAAAAAAAATGCACCCCATTCATGTGGTACAGCCATCATAACTTAATCACTTTCCCAAAGACCCTACCTCTTAATTCCACCACAATGAAGATTAAGTTTCAGCGTGAGTTTTGGAGGGGATATAAACATTCAAGCCACAAAACCCACCTTTCTATCTGTGCTCAGCGATGCAACTTGTTTTCATTAAATAAATTGAGCTGGAAATGAAAGCATGCCAATACCAAGGCTAGGCTTCAAGAACACTTGAATTTTTCTACTTTTCTTGCACTTCTATCATCCCGGTGAGAAGAACAATGCCTGGCCCAGTCGTCTGTCCCAAAAGTGTATGAGGGACACACAGAGTAGAGCTACCCCAGCCACAGTGAGCCTAGACCAGGGCCCCTAACCAACCTAAAAAAATGCATGAGTGAGTTCTGTGGAGGTCAGATGACCCACAAATATGTGCATTATAATAAGTGATTGTTGTTTTAAGCCACTGAGTTTGGGGGTCATTTATTATACTGCAATAGCTAACTGGTACAATAAGAACTATGGCAGATCCTCAACTTTCAACTTTTTGGACCCTTTCACAAATGGCTTCCATTAACCTGCAACAACTCCCAATGCCTGCTTCTCTGTTTATAGTTCCAAATTTCTGACAGAAAAAAAAAATAATTGGGGAGGATGCAGTCACTATCAGGAAATGTAAATCTCTTTGTCTTCAGGGTCCAGAGGCCCTCCCCATAGATGGCTATCACAACGGCTGGGCCATCTGCCCTGGTTATACACTGTGAGTGATTCCTCCTTCAACTTGCATCTCCTTGTACTGCTGGCTATTAAACACCTCACTCAGTTCCAAATACAATGTCAACAATCAGGAAAAGTAAGTGATAATTAGAATAACATGAATTGTCATCTCTGCTGTCTATTCACCCATTTCTGGAATTTTTCCTAAGCCATTATTTCCCCCTAAGCATAGACATTTATCATCAGTGAGAAACTGACCACTGGACACTTATGAACTCATAAAAGGCTGCTTCTTCCTTGGACAAGTTGCGGCCTGATCTTTTCTCCTCAGAGCATCTGCTTTGTGGCCTCTGGATCCTACACTTGCCTCTTGAGGACTTGAGTGCCATACCTTGGGCTCTGTGGGCTCCTACATAAGCTTTATTTGGAACCCTTATCACAACCTTTAAAAACTGAAGTAGTTACTTTTACCAAGTACTGTGTATCCCTAGTTTTGTTTACTCTTTCTAGGTATTTAGTAGCTAGAACAGTTTCCCCTTTCCCCTTCCAGAAAAGAGTCTGTGTGTACTCACCTCTATGTTTTCTCTCCACTGTGTTATGAGGTCTGGAAATGACAGTTGTAAAACAACTTTCCTGGAGGTTGGGTAAAACTAGCCCTTCTCATTTTAGGGATCACCTTTTCATTTATGAGACTGACACACAGCCCACAGTGCCAAAACAGTGATTACCTTTCTCTTTAGAACTTTTTGGCCTCTTGGCTATTTTGGGTAGCAATATTTTCTTTTTTATAAGAAAAAAATGATTATTTCCAACTCTGTTTTTGCAGTTTAACTCAGCTTGCTTTCAATAATACATTTGAGGTCAAAAGAAGTTTTGACTGTTAATTTTAAAATTTAAAGTCAACATTTTTTTAACTCAAAAAAGTATATAAAATTATAAATGAAAGTTCCCTCATGCCAGATTTTTATTTATCTTAATTTTTTTTAAAAGCCAATACATGGTGTCACCTCACTTAAGCTGTTTAGTTAATAGCTCTTAAGAAGCTATACTACTTTTCCTACAATGGTTCTTTCCCCAACCAAACACCTCATTTGGGGGGCATATAACAACTTTTATCTAAAAAGACATAAATATGCCTCAAGGAATGATATTTCAACATTACCCTATTAGTCAGAGACATGCTAACCAATTTACTAAACAGCTTCAGGTCATAAAATAGCATATAAAATAAATTTAACTTATGCACTATGTATAAAATAACCCAAAGTGTTTTTGCTGTCATTTACATGCTAAGGAACAAGAAAGAGGTGGCCTCATCTACAACTTTCCAGTCTGTTGTACTGAATGTATGCAATTTCTTCATGTTTCAAAATTCTCACACATAGACTTTATTTGGCCCCCAAAATGTTTTTCCATTCTATAATTTTATTTTTAAGTTTATTCTGATTTCAAGATAGCCATGAGTTTTCAACCAGGGTTGAAAACTATGTGAAAGTATAAGTACAGAAAGAAGAATACATGTTTCAAAAAATGACTTCCTCCTATCAGTCCTGTGCAAAATGAGTAGAAAAGGCATCTCAGTTGGTCATGATTCTTTACCTGTTGAAGTGACCCAAACCTTGACTCTTGAAGGGTCTTGAGTCATTAGCAGCCTTTCCTGAATGGCACTGTTGTAGTTTTTCATTGACATTAATCACAGGCCATGGCAATACTACGAGACTCCTTAAGGGATCCCCTATATTCCAGACATACTATTCCTTACCTCCACTGTAGTAGTCCAACTTCCCCTTGGTAGTCAGGATCAATCACTCCAGCCAGCACAGTAACTCTTACTTATCTGTTGATTCAAAAACATAGGGAGTCCAACATGGCTGGTGGCAGTCTTAACTTCCATTTTGGTGGAATCAGTGTTGTATCTTCTTACAGAAGCACATCTCCTTTTGGAATGAAGACTTCTAGGCCAGCAGAACATAAAGTCGCAGAAACAGGAAGCAAAAATTTTGCTAGCAGATCACTAGGGGTAATAGCAAGTAGTACCATTTTATTTCTACTCCTTGATTCCTGGACTGTGAATCCTGGGTATAGAAGAAATAGCACCATATATTGGACACTGATTCAGAGCACATAAACAGCCTTCTGCAGAACCTTGTCCCACCCCTGGCATTGTAACTGAGTCTTCAAAAGGCCATACCATTTCCAGATAGTGGAAAATATAAGACCAGTGAATTCCATAAACATGGGCTTGTTATCACACTTTTTTTTTCTGTGAGTGAGTTCCATGATTAGAAGCAATGCTGTGTGAATAAGGTATTCTAAAAGTCTATGATGGTAGTTTTGGCAGAAGCACTGCATGCATGGAAGGCAAATCTGTATCCAGAGTAAGCGTCCATGCCAGTAAGAACAAAATGCTGCTCATTCCACGATGAAAGCAGTCCAATGTAATCAACCAAGAAGCTGGCAGATCACCCCAGGGAATGGTGCCATACGGGGATTCAGTGTTGGTCTCTGCTGCTGGCAGATTTCACACCCAGCAACAGCTATAACAAGGCTGGTCTAGATGAGGGGAAGTCCATGTTGCTGAGCCCATGCCATCACAATGACTTTATTCATGAACCCTTTGGGTGATGACAGGCGAGGCTGGTGAAAGAGTCTGACTGCTATCCACAGAATAAGTCATCCTCATCACTTACTTATTAAAATCCTCCTCTGCTGAAGCCACCTTTTGGTGAGCATTTACATGAGACACAAGTATCTTCATGGCTTTTGCCTATTCAGAGAGATCTATCCATAAACCTCTTCCTCACATTTCTTTGTCATCAATTTTCCAATAATGTCCAAATCTCTACTATCCAGCAAAATCACTAGCCTCGCCCATAAATAACCCATCAGTATCTAATTGCATATCTGGTCATTTCTCCTTTTAAGCAGAGTGAACAATCAGATTCACTGCTTGAAGTTATGCTCACTAGGAGGGTTTTTCTTCACCACTGTCCTTCAGAAATGTCCTAGGTTGGAGCTGTAGGTTTGCAGCTGACAACTTTCAAGTGGTGCCTGCATATGTAATGCAGAACTCTCTGTTAACAAGGCCCAAACTGTCTCTTCCTCTGTCAGTTGACCATAGGGAATTCCCCATAAAGCCAGAGGTGCAGGCTGGGAGAAACAATAACCCAGTTTGTATGAGCATCTCAGATCACATGGTAGCTTGGTGGCCCATGGGTTAAGCACCCAGTCTTTGCTAAGGCTCAGTAGCAGCCCGAGAGATATTTCTCAAAAGGACCGTAGTTCTGCAGATGATGGCAAGGCTTTGCTCCAAAATCCTTAAGGTCTACACTGTGATTCATCATTAAGGACCTGTCGAAGCCTACAAACTGCATCTCTATGTGCACTGACACTTCAAGCACCATGAATCGCTGGATCACATGGCCCAAGTGGCAAAGCAGCTTAATCAAGAACCTGGACCTGTTGCAGAGTCAAGTCTTCCTCTAGGCTCCACACAAACCTAGAAGCTTTTCAGGTCACTTAGTAAATAAGCTAGAGAAACACACTCAACTAAAGAATAGATTGCCTCTAAAAATCTAAGGAGGCCTCATTTTTGGTTGTAGGTGGGGCTAGATGCAGCAACTTACTGTTCATCTTAGAAAGGATATCTTGACATGTCCCACAGCACTGAGCCCCTAGAAATTTCACTGCGGTAGAAGTCCTTGAATTTATATGGGTTTATGCCCTACCATCTAGCATGCAAATGTCTTACCAATCATTCTATAATAGTGGCTACTTGGTGCTCACTAGGTCCAATCAGCACAGTGTCATCAATGTAATAAACTAGTGTGATATTTGATGGAAGGCAAAGATGATCAAGATTCCTGTGAACTAAATTATGACACAAGGATGCAGGACCAATACACCCCTGAGATAGGACAGTGATAATATATTACTGGTTTTTCCAGCTGACAACACATGGCTTTTGGTAGCCCTTACTGACAAAAATGGAGAGAAGGCATTTGACAGATTAATAACCTCATACCGTGTTGGGTGATGTGTTAACTTACTCAAACAATAAAACCACATCTGGTTCAGGAGCTGTGCTGTGGTTTGAATGCGCCCCCTTCAAAATTCAGGTGTTGCCAATGTGATAGTATAGTAGAGGTGGGGCCTTCAAGAGGTAATTAGATCATGAGGGCTCCTCTCTTATGAATGGGATTAAAGTTCTTCTTATTTTTTTCTTTAAAAAAAGGCTTCACACAGCATTTGACTTACTATCTTCCTAGGCAGAGGCAGTTCTAGTGCTTTCCATTTGGCCTTTCCCACAATGATAGCCCTCACTGCGCAAGTAGTTAGGGAACCAGTATGGGGATTTTACCAGCTGCTGAGTATAACTATTCCAATTATGCATTTTGGAACTGGGGAAATAACCACAGGCTGGGGTTGAGGACCTACTGGACCCACTGTGAAATGGTCCTTGGTTAAAATCTCTTTGATTACCTGACCTCTATCAGCCCCTACTTTCACCAGTGGACCCACAATGAAGATCAGGGTCTCCTAGAATCACTGTCAGTTCAGAGTCAGTATTGAGTAATTCCCCAAAGTTCTAATTATTTCCTCTTCCCAGTGGACAGTTACCCCAGTAAAAGGCCAAAAGTTCCTTTGGGCTGTGAGGAAGGTTAATAGTAAATTTCTGGCAATGCCCCATGGTCTCTTCTGAAGAGGACCCAACCGCTCCTTCATTCATGGTTCTCTATGTCTGTAAACTTGCTGAAGTCTGGAAACTGATTGAGGAGTTGTGATTCTGTTTTTATGATTCAAAATAGAATTTTGTTTACTTGATTTAGAGCATTTCTACTATACAGATCAAGTAAGAATTTAGTAGGCTTCCTATTTATTTAACTTTTAGGGACACTTTGATCAATTAGCCAACACCCTAAGTCTTCATGAGTCAAGCTATTCTGACTGCTGCTTTGACTCTGCTGTCCATTATAGTAACAATGTCTACCTTCCCTTTAGCAGTTGAGTGATGACACTTGGCCTGTGCCACCCAGGAATTCAATTACTTTGATTATTCCCATTGCATTTTAATTTCCCAATTCAGTCACTGCAATCCCTACTCTAAGGTCTGGCCTAGAGCAATGAGTAGAGTGATCATGGAGTTCTGAAGAGGAAGCTGGGACTCCCCTCACAAATTTCACTCTCAAAGTATTGATGAAAGGTGTATCTTCTGGGCTTTCCCAGAGTGGGTAAGTAGGTCTTAAACGAAAAATCCACTCTAACATTACAGTCTGTCTAAGGCATTGAATCTCTTCCTCTTCATTTAACCAAGGCAGGTCTGGCCTTTTGAATTCCCACACTGTAGGTCACCTTTCGATCCAAGTTTTGGCCAACCAACCAGTTACAGTTCTTCCTAACTCCCAAGCTGCAACATTAAATGCAGAATCTCTGCTTAGTGAGCCTATATCAACAAATTCAACCTGACACAACTTTATGATTTTTCTAACACTATTCCACACCCTCAACATTCCTTTCCTCATATGCTCCTGTTTCTGTCTATATAAGTTAGAAAACTCACATGGTTCTTTTATAGTGTAGTGCAACTCCTCATGGGTCATACTTTGTAAATAACCTTTAAAGGCCTGGTAGGACTTTAGTTTATAGAAGTAAAAAGGGGTGCTTGGGGTGAATCCTGAGGAAACTCAGCATTGTCTTGCATGGCAACTGCATCAGAAGAGGCCATTACAGTTTCCACAGGCAATACAGAGTCAATGCCCTCAGCAAGAGGATAGAAAGGCCACTATAACTAGCAAGGCGACTTCTACTGGCAAAAACCTAATCAGAATTTGGGGGATCAGGGTTCCTGGATTCATCAGGGTCTTTTCACACATCTCTGTTTCAACTTACAGGATCCCATTCTTTCCCAATCAATGCCCTCATTTTAACGGCAGACATGCTACAAGGCTAGGAGTTCAACTTGCATTGTAATTCAACCAATAACCAGATAAGATTCTTTATTTGATTTTCAGCAATCTCAGTCCTGAAGCTACAGACAATAAGGATCTTCTTCAGGGCACACAGAAGCTTTCAGGTCACGTATGCGGCACTTGCACTGGGAATGAGAATCCCTGAGCTCATCCTTTTCTTTCAGTACTTTGTCCAGTGACATTACACGCAACCAGCCAAACTCATTACATTCATTAGAGTTCTAAAAATATTTCTATGTATAATATACACAGTCACCCAACTCCCTGCTCCTTGGAGTGGTTGATTAGGGTAGCCAATGGAGATATTTGTCTATCTCTATAAACACTACACACCATGGAAAATTGGTGCTCTCTTTACTACTGGAAATAGAGTCATTAGCATCTTCAAATCTAAGTACATTAGAGATCCAATTTCAGAAACCCTTTGACCAATTTAGAAAAGTCATCATTAAAATTCTGTTCCTCTGGAACCATTTTTGGTACCCAAACAAAAATCTGTATTAGTCATGGTTCTCCAGAGAAACAGAAGCAAATATATATATATATATATATATATATATATATATATATATATATTCATATATATGCATATATATACACATATATATGTGTGTGTGTGTATGTGTGTATGTGTATGTATATACGTTTGTGTGTGTGTGTATATGTGTATGTATATGTATATACGTTTGCGTGTGTAATATATACATACATATATATAAATAAAATCTCAACCTCCATGACTGTGTGAGCCTTTTTTTTTTTTTAATAATAAATACCTTCATGTATATATGAAGTCCCTCAATCTGCTCTCTGAAAGCCGGAGACTCAGAAAAGCTGTGGTATAACTCCAGGTTCAAAGGTCTGAGAATAAGGGAATCCCAAGGTGGTCAGTCCAAGGACAGAAGAATACTGATGTCCCAGCTCAGACAGGCAGGCAGAAAGCAAAAAGGGGTGAATTACTTCTTTCTCTGACTTTTTGTTCTATTCAGTCCCTCACCAGATTGGATTATGTCCAGCCACATTGAGGAGGTCAATCTACTTTATCGATTCCATCAATTCAAATGCTAATATCATCCAGAAACAACCTCACAGACATATCCAGAAATCATATTTAGTATGGGTAACCCATTTGCTCAATCCAATTGAAACAGAATTAAACATTGTACCATGAATGCTAGATATCAGTATATGCAGAGTTGAAGACCACAGCATAGGAGGGCAGATCGCTGGATGGCGTTGGCCAAGCCAGAGCTGTCCCTGTTTTTTGCAATTCTCAGGCAAAATGTACTGAGAAAGCAACATTCTGAGATAAGACAGAAGTGTCAGAATATCCCAGAACACATCTTTGTTCCTCCTAAATTAGGATGTTCTGCAGTGTTTACACTCAGAGACTCACATGACACCCAGGATATAAAACCCAGAACAAAGTGCTTTTAGCATTCCCTCAGCTGCAATGCAAAGTGGGGCATGCACAACCAGACTCTCCATTCTGGGCGGCTTTCATGCATCTTGAAGAACTGGCTTCTCATGGATTCCAGGCTTCTATCTATCCTTGCTGCCTGTCTATGAGTAATAAATTTGCTTTGCCTGATGTGCTGTGCTGTGTCAGTACTCTGCCTGACAAGATTTATTCTCTGGTAGCTGGGTTTGTGCAAAACTTCCTGCTAGACCCAGGAACTTCTGCACATGGTTCTGAAACCAGACTGAATTATAAAAATTCCTGTTCTGCTGCTAGATCTTGGGCAAGTTACAGAACCTTTTTGTGTGTCAGTTTCCTCATCTGTGAACAAAGATAGTAACAGTGTCTATCTTGTTGGGTAGATGTGAGGACTAAATGTTTCATTAAAAGCTAAACCGCTTAGCACAGTGTCGGGCATATAAGAAGTGTTTAATAAATGTCAGCTATTATCCATGTGAAGAAAAATGAAGTGTCAAACACGAAGTGTAAACACTTTTTTTCTTAAAATCTTAACTGTGGCTCTCAAATTTTCTTTTGCTTAAAAATTATTTTCATAAACTAACTCAGACAGAGCTTTTCTTGATCCTCCACCATAAACCTCCTATGGTTATTATTCTGAAATGAAATAGAATGGATGTCAGAGTAGTAGATGTTGTCCATGCATACCACATCACCTTCATTCTGACCACCTCAGTCCATTCTGGTGTAGATGGCAACCCAGAAGCATGGGTAATTATTACCTTCCAGGAGCAGGCTCTAACCAATGACCAATGCGAACTGGTATATAAATAGCCTACCTTCCTCACACTCTGGGTAGGACATTTCTGAGGTGTATGTCTCACATAGCTCTTGAGTTGCCCCAGCAGGGTTGAGCTTTAGTTGCCCATGGTGGGAATTTGCTTCATAACACACGCTAAGTGTTCACCTTCCCTGTGTCACTTCTTTACATCGTCTCCCAGTATTGCCTAGCACCAATGCCTAAATAAAACACCACCAACACTAAGACAATTAGCAATACAAATATGAAAACTACAAAAATGCGTTTCTAAAAATATTTGTCTTGACCAGGCTTGATGCCTCATGTCCGTAATCCCAGCACTTTGGGAGGCTGAGATGAGCAGATCACTTGAGGTCAGGAGTTTGAGACCAGCCTGGCCAACATGGTGAAACCCTATCTCTACTAAAAATACAAAAATTAGCTGGGCATGGTGAGACATACCTGTAATCCCACGTATTTGGGAGGCTGAAGCAGGGGAATCACTTGAATTTGGGAGGCAGAGATTGCAGTGAGCAAAGATCACATTACTTCACTCCAGCCTCTCCATCTCCAAAAAAAAAAAAAAAAAAAATTCTATAAACAAACAAGCCAAACAAATATTAAAACACAAACCAAGCAAATATAAGAATTTCTAACTTATTCTACTTTGTATAGAATTCGTTTTATGCGTGAACTATTTAATGGTTCCAGGATGACATATTATTCCTTTTTTAAATCTTTGACTTAAACATGCTATCACATAGTGAACACTTCTATTCTTCACTACAATCTTATTTGAGACTAGAAGAATGCTTCTGACCTTGTTTGGAGTCACTTGAACTCTGTGGGCTTCAAGCTAACTTTTTGTCTCTCATCCCAAGCTCAATTTAGTGTCAACAAAACATGAACTTCTAGTCCAAATAAAAATATCTTGGAAAAGACTTATAAGAAAACTCTTAAAGTGTTTTGATATTTGAAACAACTCTGAAGATGTATAAATGAATCAGGTAAGCACAGATTAGATTTCCTTAGAAATATAGTTTCTAAAAGAAACTTTGAGGGAAAATATTTGTGAGAATTTACTTCTTTGGTTTGGTTGCTTTTTATTTTTCTACTTAAAACATTTGAAGAATTGTTAAAATTTTTTATTTTCAACAAAAACATACCAAAATTCTCTTAAAATTGTCACTAAGAGATAATCATTTATAGGGAGAATGAATATTTAAAGTTCTTGCTACCTAGAAAACCAAATTCTAGAGGTTTGGCAAATTCCAAATAATTATCTGAATGTCCTAAAGCTAAAGATTAAGTATTTTTTTAAATTGTGCAATTTAAGATGAATAGACTTCAACATAATGCTAAGTTTGTGCTAAATGTATGAATCATATGCATTATAGCTCAGAAAAACAAGTTGTAAGAAAGTTTGAAATTTGTTTACATTGTGCAAATTCATTTACTAGATTCTATCAAAATTAATTTTTTTGATAAATTATTATCAGAGCCAAGGGTCTCGAAGTGAAACAATTCATATTAAGTAAACATAAATCACAGAAAGATTTTTAAAATACCTTTGCCTATATCTAATTAGGTTAGAAAAAGAAATTCTGATAGAGCTGAGAAAACTCAATTATAAATGACACTACACATGCCTAGCCCTCATCCCTTTTAATTTGCTTTGATAAAAATGTACAGTAATGGGCTTCCAGGTAAAATACTTAATAGATGCATTTATTTAGGAATTTTTAATATATTTCCTTTTATAATTTGAATAGCCTCGTTTTTATTTAAGAAGAAAAAGCATGTATGGTGATTACTTTTTTCAGTATTATATTAAAAAAAATAACAAACTATTCTTCCTTCCCACAAACAAATCCTAGTCTTTAAATGGTTGTCCTTTTTCCTTTCTGGCTGTATCTCAGTAGTTATCTCTTCACTGTCTTGCCTGCACACACACACACAAATGCACACCTATTCCTCCTACCTACACCACATGCACACAAACTACAGAATTTTTCTGTCTTTGTATCTTTCTATCTTTGTGTCTCTCTCTTTCTGGCTTCCTCTCTTTGATTCCCCCTCGTTCTGCCTTATTATTCCCTATTCTCCACTTCCCCCATGTGTCCTCTGTGAAGTTTGCTCTTCAGAATTAAAGCACAAATAAAATAATTCATTAATTTGCCAAGATTATGTTTATAAAAGGGAGCAAGAAAGAAAGAAAATCACTCATCTTTTAAAGAGAGAACACCAGTAAATAGTAAAATAATGTCATAGTAAAATAATGCAGGAGTTCTTATTTACATGATAATTTAAAATGTTAAATGTGAGTTTAAGTTACGCATTATGCCTCTCAAAGGAGTGTTTACTTTTAAAATAAGGATATACTTCACTTGGTAATCTGATGTGAAACGTAAGATTAAAAAATTCAGATGTTCATGAAATACATATATAACTTCATTTATTTATGATCACTAACACACAGTAATCAAAGCCAAATTCATTATTCAATGATCATTTGATTCACCATGATATGTGTTTCAGAAGTAACGGAAAAGAAGTCAAGTCCACAGCGTGGAATGACAGATGATTTAGAAAATGGGATTTTATTTGTTCTTCTGTTGGGAGACCTAATCATTTGCCAATTTGAGAAGCTATTTCTTAATAAACATATACTTAATGAGCCTGATTCTTCCCTACAATGTCAGTAATATTGAAACATATTTGTTACCACAAAGGCTATATAATTTATTGGTGGGCACTAATGGTTTTAAGGAAATCATAATGCTTCAGAGAACAGAAGTTACAACAGGAAGATTGCAATCAGTAAATTTTCTAATTCTTCATTCCAATTACAAATATTAGCTTATTTTGACTTATATATTCATATGTTTATATATTCATATATTCATATGTTTATAAAATGACTAACTTACATGAACAGATCTGTTTATAGTAGACCAATATTTGGTGCCATGTTCAAATTCAGGAAAAGAGGGATGCAAGCCACTGTGAGAGATTCAAATGTAAAGTTGCATTTGTGAGAAACTCAATTAACTAAAGAGTGAAATCTGAAGCAAACAGCAAACTCAGCCTTAGCCATATTGGCCTTATTGAATATGCCATTCTTTGGCAGTATCATGACCTTTGAACCTGTGGTTCCTTCTGCCTGGGATGCTCTTTCACAGATACATGCATACTTCTATGCACAAATGTCTAACCAGAGAGGCGTTTCTGACACCCTGTCTAAAATATATAAAATATCTTTATCCACCCATCCTTGTTTTGGTTTTCTTCTTAGCTTCATATCCTCATTGATTCATTGACCTGATCCATATCTATTTTTAAATTTGTATCTGTCTTCTCCATTAGAATTTATCTTGTCCCTTTAAGTTTACTTTTATTCTTAGCCCCTAGAACAGTATCTGGTAGGCATTAATAAATATTTGTTGACTTGACTAGAATGCAATTTTGAAGCATTAACATCAGTTATTGAGACAAGTCTCTCAATGCTACTCCAAGCACTGTGAGAAATGAAACTTATGGTTCTTTTCTCTAATATGCTTATAATCTATTTGGTGAGACAAGCCCATCACATATTGTATTAGGTTATCTATTGATGTATAAGAAATTACCTCAAAACATGAGTTTGGGTCAGGAAAGTCTTAGCTGAGAAGTTCTGGCTCAGGGTCTTTCACGAAGTTGCAGTCAAGATGTCAGCCTGGGCTGTGGTTATCAGAAGGTTTGACTGAGGCTGATTGATTACTTCTAAAAGAGCTCCCACACATGGCTGTTATGTTAGTGCTGGTTGTTGGCAGGAGGCCTCAGTTTCTTACCACATGGACCTCTCTGTAGATTTGCTAGAATGCCCTCATGGTGTGGTAGTTGGGTTATTCCAGATGACTTCTCTGAAAGAAAACAAAGTAAAAGCTGCACTGTGTTTTATGACTGAGCCTTGGCGATCACATTCTGTTATGTTTGCAATATCTTAATGGTTCAACCCTATTCAACATTAAGAGACTACACAAGAGTTTGGATCCCAGAAGTTGAGAATCATTTTAAATACTGGCTGACACACACATGAAATAAGTAGCAAAGCATATGTGGCCATGTGTGAGGCTAAGTTGTGAAAACATTCAAGGTTCATCCAGTTTTGAGAACTTAGACTTATATAATTGGAAAGGCTAAGTTAGATAGGAAATTTAATCCTCACTTGGGCAAGGGTATTTGTTCCAGGCATTTAAATAACATAAACTCGATTTGTTCATTTATTAAACAAAAATTTTTAAGCCCTTGCTTGCTGTGCTAGGTCAAAGGATTATAAAATCCATAAATCGCAGATCATGACCTAAAAGTATTTATAATCTATTTTGCGTAAGGTAAAATTTATGAGCAATAATGGTTTTGAATGAATTTAAATACTTAGTGCAAGGCCTGGGGCAAGAACCATCATCCAAAGCCAGACATTATAAATAGAGACTACAAACACACAAAATATGTGTATTTGCGGATGAAATATGTGGATAAAAAATGAAATAGTTTTCACGCTCTTATTGCAATAAATTTCAATTTAATTCAAGAAAAGTGGATTTTAGAAATTATCAGCTAAATAATCTAATATAAAAAAATTCACTGATCATTGACTATGATACGGGAAGGAAAGCTACATGAACACCTTAATAAAAGGAATCAGTAAAAACTGATTTCATTCTCTAAAGCACCTCCTCCAAATCCCAAACCCTGTCCAAACTGGAATATAACCCTCAGGATCTTTAAATTCTATAAGTTCACCAAAATGTTTCCCAGTCCAATGACTTCACACTAGTATTTGTCACACAGTGATTGGCAAAAAGGACATTTATCATTTAAATCAAATGACACATTGTTTCTTTTAACATTTAATTTCCCCCGCCTTGATGGCCTGATTTATTCTTTTTAAAATAGTCTATTTTATTTATACATAATAATTATATATATTTATGGGGTACAGGTGATGTGTTGACATATGCATAGAATGTATAATGATCAAATCCATCACCAAAAAATTTATCATTTATTGTGTTGGGAACATTTAAATTCTTCTCTTTCAGCTATTTTGAAATATACAGTAATTTTTTTGCTATAGTCACCCTACTGTGCTATCAAACACTAAACCATTTGCCTCTAATTGTACGTTTGTACCTATTAACCAATCTCTTTTCATCCCCTCCCCCACCTTTCTCAGACTCTGATAACTATCATTCCATTTTCCTACCTCTATGACATTTTTATAGGTGCCACAGATGAGAGAGTATGAAATACTTATCTTTCTGTGCCTTGCTTATTGCACTTATCATAATGACCTCCAGTTCCACCAATGTTGCTGCAAATGACAGGACTTCATTCTTTTTTATGACTCAGTAGCATTTTAGTGTGTGTATATATACAGTTAACTTTCTCCATTTACTTTTTATGGCTCATTAGTATTTCAGTGTGTATATATACAGTTATGTCTCCATTCACTTGTTGGTGGACACTAAGTTTGATTCCCTATCTTAGTTACTGTGAATAGTGCTGAAGTAACGGGTAACCCTTTGGTAAAGTGATTTCTTTACCTTTGGATAAATACCCAGTAATAAAATTGCTGGATTGTGTAGTAGTTCTATTTTTAGATTTTTTAGAAACCTCCATACTGTTTTCCATAATGGCTATATTAATTTACATTCCCACCAACAGTGTTTAAGAGTTCCTTTTTCTCTGCATTCTCATCAGAATTTGTTCTTTTCTGTGGCTTATAATAACCATTTTCACTGGTCTCAGATGATATCTTATTATGGTTTTAATTTGCATTTTTCCTGATAATTAGTGATGTTTAGCATTTCTTTCATGTACTTTTTGGTTTTTTGTCATCTGTTGAGGAGTGTCAATTCTGATCTTTTACTCACCTTTTAATCAGATTGATTGTTGTTAATTTTTGTTTTGTTTTGTTTGCTGTTGAACAGTTGAGTTCCTTATATATTTTGGATATTGGTCCCTTGTCAAATGAGCAAATATTTCCTCTCATTTCACAAATTGTCAGGTTGTCTCTTCACTAAGTTAATTGTCTCTTTTGCTAAGCAAAAGTGTTTTAATATAGCCCATTTATTTTTGCTTATGTTGTCTGTGCTTTTGAATTCTTAGTCCTAAAATCTTTGCCCAGACCAGTGTTTTGAATCATTTCCTTTATGCTTTCTCCTAATAGTTTTATAGTTTTGAGTTTTAGGTATTTAATCTATTTTGATTTGATTTTTCTATATGGTGAGAGATAGGGGTCCAGTCTCATTTTCCGTATATGGACGTCAAGTTTTCCCGCACGATTTATTGAAGATATTGTCCTCTCATCACAGAGTGTTCTTGGTGCTTTTACAACAAATCAGATTACTGTAAATGCATGAATTAATTTCTGGATTGTCTGTTATATTTCACTTGGTTTCTATGTCTGTTTTTATGCCATATACAATGCTATTCTGGTTATTATAGCTTTGTAGAATATTTTAAAATCTGGAAGTATGCCTCCAGCTTTGTTCTTTTTGCTCAGTATTGCTTTGGCTATTTGAGCTCTTTTTTGATTCTATATAAATAATTTTTTTTTTTCCTATTTCTGTGAAGAGCATTACTGGTGTCTTAATGGCAGTTGCATGGACTCTGTAGATTGCTTTATGTAGTAAGGTCATTTTAACAATACTAATTCTTTAAATCCATAAACCTGGGATGTCTTTTGACTTGTGGCTCTTCCATTTCTTTCATCAGTGTTTTGCAGTTTTGTAGGAGGTCTTCCACCTCTTCGGTTAAGTTTATTTCTAGGTATTTTATTTTATTAAGTTTTTGTAGCTGTTGTAAATTGGATTGCTTTCCTGATTTCCTTTTCATCTAGTTTGTTTTGGTGTGCAGAAATACTACTGATCTTTGTATGCTAAAGTTGTATCCTGCAACTTTACTGAATTCGTTTATCAGTTCTAAAATATATTTTTTTATTATCATACTTTAAGTTCTGGGATACATGTGTAGAACCTGCAGGTTTGTTACAAGGGTATATATGTGCCATGGTGGTTTGCTACATCTATCACCCCATTATCTACATTAGGTATTTTGCCTAATGCTATCCCTTCCCTAGCCCTTCACCCCAACAGGCTTCAGTATGTGATGTTCCCTCCCTGTGTCCATGTGTTCTCATTGTTCAACTCCCACGTATAAGTGACAATATGCAGTGTTTCTTTTTCTGTTCCTGTGTTAGTTTGCTGAGAATGATGGTTTCCAGCTTCATCCATGTCTCTGCAAAGGGCATGAACTCATCCTTTTTATAGCTGCATAGTATTCCATGATGTATATATGCCACATTTTCTTTATCCAGTATATCACTGATGAGTATTTGGATTGGTTCCAAGTCTTTGCTATTGTGAACAGTGCTGCAGCAAACATACATGTGCATGTGTCTTTACAGTAGAATGATTTATAATCCTTTGGAGATATATATATATATATATATATATATATATATATATATATATATATATATCCCGGTAATGGGATTGCTGGGTCAAAGGTATTTCTGCTTCTAGATCCTTGAAGAATTGCCACACTGCCTTCCACAATGGTTGAACTAATTTACGTTCCCATCAACAGTGTAAAAGTGTTTCTATTTCTCCACATTCTCTCCAGCATCTGTTGTTTCCTGACTTTTTAATGATCACCATTCTAATTGGCATGAGATGGTATCTCAATACGGTCTTGATTTGCATTTCTCTAATGAGCAGTGATGATGAGCGTTTTTTCTTGTTTGTTGCCCACATAAATGTCTTCTTTTGAGAAGTGTCTGTTCATATCCTTCGCCCACTTTTTGATGAGCTTATTTCCTGTAAATTTATTTGTAGATTCTGCATATTAGACCTTTGTAAGATGGATAGATTGCAAAAGGTTTCTCCCATTCTGTAGGTTGCCTATTCATTCTGATGATGATTTATTTTGCTGTGCAGAAGCTCTTAGGTTTAATTAGATCCCATTTGTCAATATTGGTTTTTGTTGCCATTGCTTTTGGTGTTTTAGTCATGAAGTCTTTGCCTATTCCTATGTCCTGAATGGTATTGCCTAGGTTTTTTTCTAGGGTTTTATGATTTTCGGTCTTACATTTAAGTCTTTAATCCATCTTGAATTAATTTTTGTATAAGGTATAAGGAAGGGGTCCAAGTTTCAGTTTTCTGCATATGGCTAGCCAGTTTTCCCAACACTATTTATTAAACAGGGAATTCTTTCCCCATTGCTTGTTTTTGTCAGGTTTGTCAAAGATCAGATGGTTGTAGAGGTGTGATGTTATTTCTGAGGCTTCTGTTCTGTTCCATTGGTCTACATATCTGTTTTGGTACCAGTATCATTCTGTGTTGGTTATTGTAGCCTTGTAGTATAGTTCGAAGTCAGGTAGCATGATGCCTTCAGCTTTGTTCTTTTTGCTTAGGATTGTCTTGGCTATACAAGCTCTTTTGTGGTTCCATATGAAATTTAAAGTAGTTTTTATCTAATTCTGTGAAGAAAGTTGGGCAGCATGGCCATTTTCATGATATTGATTCTTCCTATTTATGAGCATGAAATCTTTTCCCATTTGTTTGTGTCCTCTTTTATTTCCTTGTGCAGTGCTTGGTAGTTCCTTGAAGAGGTCCTTCACATCCCTTTTAAGTTGTATTCCTAGGTATTTTATTCTCCTGTAGCAATTGTGAATGGGAGTTTACTCATGATTTGGCTCTCTGTTTTTCTATTATTGGTGTAGGAATGTTTGTGATTTTTGCACTTTGATTTTGTATCCTGAGACTTTGCTGAAGATGCTTCTCAGATTAAGGAGATTTTGAGCTCAGATGATAGGGTTTTCGAAATACACAATCATGTC